AGTCAGTAGAAAAAGCATTCAGTCTTCATTCAACTACCCAAATGCACACTTATGGATTTGTCACCTAATTGTACACCCATTTTGCTTTCTCAGGTAATATATCATGAACATTAATACATTCAAACAAAATGAAAATTCTGCTAGCTTAGTATTTTTCATGCTATAAAAAAAATAAAGGATGCATCTGGTGCCTACGTTGTGTTGGGTGAGGAAGGTTAAGGAACACAGCTGTCCTCATAAGCTCCACGTTCAACTGGAGAGCAGGGCATGTTCCCTGCAAACTAGCCATTCTGCTAAAGGTGCAAAAACAAAGTGTTATGGAACTGAGAAGAGAGAGAGAGACAAATCCTGATGACAGACATGGAGGTTCAGCAAAGATCTCACAAGAAGATAAGAGCCAAAGAGCCAGGAGGAGAAAGGAAAAAAGGGAGGCAATGAAGGGAATTCAGTGGCCCAGGCACTTGAAATCCTACTATTTTTATGGAGAACCTGTGTAGACCTGTGTTGTCCAGGCATAAATTGTCTATTTGACAAGAGATAAGCAGATCTTATTGATATGGCTTTTCTACTTGTTATTATAAAATTATTCCTTACAAAATATTAATGCCTAGGTCTAGAGCAGGGGTGGGCAAACTTTTTGACTCGAGGGCCACAATGGGTTCTTAAACTAGACCGGAGGGCCGGAACAAAAGCATGGATGGAGTGTTTGTGTGAACTATAAATTCAAAGTAAACATCATTACATAAAAGGGTACGGTCTTTCTTTTTTTTAAGTTTTATTCATTTCAAACGGGCCGGATCCGGCCCGCGGGCAGTAGTTTGCCCACGGCTGGTCTAGAGAATGGATTGATGCAAAATTAAGTCTGAGGAAATAACAGCTATTCATATCAGTAACTGGCCTGATGGATTTAAGCATCACTTGAAAGAGCTTTGGTGTATCACTATGAAATTCATATCCTGCAAGAAGATATCATATTATATTTAAACTAGAGGCCCAGTGCACAGATTCATGCACATTGAAAGGAAATTAATTAGAAGGTGGCTGGCGGGGTGGGACTGGGCGAGATGGGCTGGACACCCCCTGGAGTCAACTTCCCTCAGTCCCTCCCAGGCCAGCTGCACCTGGGGCTGCACCGGGGCTCGAAGGGCGTCTGTGGAGTGAGTGGGGTCCCTTTGGCAGGTGGGTCCCTAGGCCTGGCTTCCGGGGATTGGGCCGAAACCGCAGTGCGACATCCCCCAGGGGCCCCGGAGTGCAAGAGGGCACTCTGTGAAGTTGCTGTCACTTGACAGCTCCTGCGTTGAGCATCTGACTCCTGGTGGTCAGTGTGAGTCTGTTGGAGGGATGGCCGGTCACTTAGCCTTTTATATATACACTAGAGGCCCAGTGCACAAAAATTTGTGCACCCAGGGGGTTCCCTCAGCCCAGCCTGTGCCCTCTCGCAGTCTGGGACCCCTTGGAGGACGACCACCTGCTGGCTTAGGCCTGCTCCCTGGGGGATTGGGCCTAAGCTGGCAGTCAGACATCCCTCTGGCAGCCTGGGAGCCCTCAGGGGATATCCACTTGCCAGCAGGGAGCAGGCCTAAGCTTCAGTCGGACAGCCTTAGCACTGCTGAGGAGGCGGGAGAGGCTCCCACCACCACCGCTGTACTGGCAGCCATCAGCCTGGCTTGTGGCTGAGCAGAGTTCCCCCTGTAGGAGCGCACTGACCACCAGGGGGCAGCTCCTGCATTGAGCGTCTGCCCCCTGGTGGTCAGTGTGTGTCATAGTGACCAGTCATTCCCACTCATTCTGCTGTTAGGGTCAATTTGCATATTACCCTTTTATTATATAGGATAGAGGCTTGGTGCATGGGTGGGGGCTGGCTGGTTTGCCCTGAAGGGTGTCCTGGATCAGGGTAGGGGTCCTGCTGGGGTGCCTGGCCAGCCTGGGTGAGGGGCTGGTGGGTGTTAGCAGGCTGGTCACACCCCCTTCAGGGTGAGGGTCCCCACTGGGGTGCCTGGCCAGCCTGGATGAGGGGCTGATGGCTGTTTTCAGTCTGGCCACACCCCCTTTAGGGTGGGGGGTCCCCACAGCCCCTTCAGGGCAGAGGGTCCTGCTGGGGTGCCTGGCCAGTATGGGTGAGGGGCTGAGGGCTGTTTTCAGGCTGGCTAAGCCCCCCAGCGGGGACCCTCACCCCATGAGGGTGTGGCCATCCTGGGTGAGGGGCTGATGGCTGTTTGCAGGCTGGCCACAGCCCCCAGCCACCCAAGCTCCCAGTGGAGGCTGGCTGGAAGCAGGTATCTGGGATTTATTTGTCGTCTATAATTGAAACTTTGTTGCCATGAGCGGAGGCCACAGCCAGCTCAGGGCAGGCGGGAAGCTTGGCTTCCTCCATCGCCCGGGCAACCAAGCCTCCTGCTTGCTCCAGCTCAATGGCTGCCAGTCTCCATCGTGGTTGGGTTAATTTGCATATAGTCGCTCTGATTGGCTTGTGGGTGTGGCTTAGGGCATAGTGAAGGTACAGTCAATTAGCATCTTTGTCTTTTATTAGTGTAGATATATATAGATAATTGTATTAATGCTGATATAAATGGGTATGTACATTTCTCTCTTAATAAAGTTAACTATAACACATTTCTATTTAGAGATAAAAATCACCAGGTTGAGTAAACCCAGGAAACAAATAGCAAATGAATTTCATATTGCATGCCAGCTCTAATCAACTTTTATTTATATATGTATATATATATATATATATATATATATATACCTTTAAAATTAATTTCAGAGAGGAAATGAGAGGGAGAGAGAGATAGAAACATCAGTGATGAGAGAGAGTAATCGACTGGCTGCCTACAGCATGCCCCCAACTGGGGACTGAGCCCACAACCCGCACATGTACCCTGACCAGGAATTGAACCATGACGCCCCTAGTTCATAGATCGATGCTCAACCACTCAGCCACGCTGGTTGGGCTCTAATCAACTTTTAGAAGTGCTTGGAATGTTTCATTACGAAGAACTTTTAGGCCATACTTGGGCTCACCAAAAGTCAGTGTCATGATGATTATTAGTGAGGTCTGCCATGGGTGCAGTGGGTAAATGGAAGCATATGTGCCCAGTATTGCTGTCCCTGACTTAAAAATTAAAGAAAGCTGAGGGAAGGGGGAACAAATCAAATCATTCAGTTGGTGTCTTATTTATTGAGTAGTAACAGCCCTCTGAACACGCTTCCTCCTCTCTTTACTGTCCCATTCAATTCTGCTTCGGTGTCTTCACTCCCCCATCTGCAATACCTCCCTCTCTGAATTCCTTCTACATGTCCCTCAAGGTCTAACTCAAGGCCCACTTTCTATGAAGTATTCCTGATGATTTTTAGTCCTCACTGAGTTCCATATGACTTCAGAAATATCAGTTACAAATTTTTAAGTCAGTTACTTGGAATTCAGAATATGGTTACCCATAGAAAAGGTATAAAAATGTTGATTAGTATCCTAAGCTAGTCTATAAAAATCCAAGTGATGGCATGGGCAAAATGTATTTGCCAGAGTGTTCATTTAAAAATAAACTGTGATGAGCTGCTTCTGGGTATGTGTATGCCTATTCTTCACTCCAAGAAATGCCCAAAGCTTGGGGTGGAAAGCTGGATAGGGAAGAGTAAGATAAGTGCCAGGGAGCTGGGTGTTCCCTGGGGCAGGAGGTGGGACAGAGGGACAGGAAAATAGAACTGGAACCACCTGGCAGAGGAGACTTTCCCATTGGTGATGCCAGAGGAGGAGTCCAAGTTGTTGCTGAGGGAAAGATGAAGTCAACCCTCTTCTTATTAAGCCTCCATGTCACTCACTGATGCTTCTGTGTAGAAAGTGGTACCTTCTGGGGAGAGCCCCAAGAGGAGGGACACCTATTGACATCAGGTGACATTCACTGAGCTCTCATCATCATGTAAGAAACTACAAACAGAAAACTCCTACTGCAATTCTAGGAATTAAATGTAATTAAAAAAATAACACAAGTGTCACTGTTAATGCTTGAAGGAAAAATGGTTTATTTGTTGGAAAATAAAGACATAAATGGAAATTTTGCTGTAAAAAAAATAGAGTATTCTGGGTAGTTTCTAAGCTTTTGTTTTGTTTTGTTTTGTTTTGTTTATCTTTATTGTTGAAAGTATTACAGATGTCCTCTTACTTTCCCCATTGACCCCTTTAGTCCACAACTTCCTCGCCTCCCGCCCCTGCCCTTCACCACACTATTGTCTGTGTCCATGGATTATGCATATGCATACAAGTTCTTTGGTTAATCTCTTCCCGCCTACCCACCCACCCCTGCCTTCCCTCTGAGATACAACAGTCGGACATGCTTCCATGTCTCTGGATCTATTTTGTTCATCAGTTTATTTTGTTCATCAGAGTCCACATATAAGTGAGATCATGGGATACTTATCTTTCTCTGCCTGGCTTATTTTGCTTAGCATAATACTCTCTGGGTCCCTCCATGCTGTTTCAAAGAATAAGAGATCCTTCTTTTTTACTGCTGCATAGTATTTCATAGTGTAAATGTACCACAGCTTTTTGTATCCACTCATCTACTAATGAACTCTTCAGGTGTTTCCAGAACTTAGCTATTGTAAATTGTGCTGCTATTAATATAGGGGTGCATATATTCTTTCTGATTGGTGTTTTGGGTTCCTAAAAGTGGGATCACTGGGTCAAATGGCAATTCTGTATTTATTTTTTTTAGGAAACTCCATACAGTTTTCCATAATGGCTGCACCAGTCTGCATTCCCACTAACAGGGTACTAAAGTTCCCTTTTCTCTACGTCTTCACCAGCACTTTTCATTTGTTGATTTGTTGATGGTAGCCATTCTGACAGGAGTGAGGTGCTACCTCATTGTTGTTTTGATTTGTATCTCTCTGATGATTAGTGACTTTAAGCATTTTTCAAGTCTCCTGGCCATCTATATGTCCACTTTGGAGAAGTATCTATTTAGGTCCTTTGTCCATTTTTTTTTTGACCTGCGACATTTTATTTTATTTATTTATTCATTTTTTGTGTCATCCCTGCACAGGGGCCATGCTAATCTTCTCTGTATCATTCCAATTTCAGTACATGTGCTGCTGAAGTGAGCACAGGCCTGTGACATTTAAAAACTGAATGACATTATAGCTGACCCTATTCCTTGTGAAGACTCTCTCTCCACCAGAGCTTCTATTAGCCCCACTCCTCAGTGATTTGTCCATTTTTTAATTTGATTGTTTGTCTCCCTTTTGTTAAGTTGTATGGATTCCTTATATATTTTGGATATTAACCCTTTATCAGATGTATTATTGCCAAATATGTCTCTCATACAGTGGGCTCCCTTTTCACTTTGTTAATGGTTTCTTTTGCTGTGCAGAAGCTTTTTATTTTGATGAAGTCCCATTTGTTTATTCTCTCTTTTGTTTCCCTTGCCCTATGAGATGTATCTGTAAACATATTTCTATGAGCTATGTCTGAGGTTTTGTTGCCTAAGGTTTCTTCTAGGATTTTTATGACTTACATTTAATTCTTTTATCCATTTTGAGTTTACTAGTATTCTTGTGTATGGTGTAAGTTGGTGATCTAGTTTCATTTTTTTTTTTTTTTGCATATACCTGTCCAATTTCCCCAACACCATTTATTGAAGAGACTATCTTTGCTCCATTGCATGCTCTTGCTTCCTTTGTAAAATATTAATTGAGCATAATGGGTTGGGTTAATTTCTGGGGTCTCCGCTCTGTTCCATTGATCTATATGCCTGTTCTTGTGCCAGTATCAGGCTATTGTGATTACAGTGGCTTTGTAATATTGCTTGATATATGATATTGTGATCCATCTAACTTTGTTCTTCTCAAGATTGCTGTGGCTATTCAGGGTCTTTTTGGGTTCCATATAAAGTTTTGGAGTATTTGTTCTAGATTTGTGAAATATACTGTTGTTGTTTTTAATAGGGATTACGCTGAATCTATAGATTGCTTTGGGCAGTATGGACATTTTAATGATGCTAAGTCTACCAATCCATGAACATGGTATATTCTTCTATTTGTTTACATCTTCCTTTATCTCTTTCCCAATGTCCTGCAGTTTTCAGAGTAGAAGTCTTTTACCTCCTTGGTTAAGTTTATTCCTAAGTATCTTAATATTTTTGTTGCAATGGTAAATGGAATTTTTTTTAAGTTTCTCTTTCTGATAATTCATTATTGGTGTATAAAAATGCCAAGGATTTCTGAGTATTAATTTTGTATCCTACTACATTGCCAAATTCATTTGTTAAATCTAATAGTTTTTTTGGTGGAGTCTGTAGGGTTCCCTACAATATCATGTCATCTGCAAATAATGAGAGTTTTACTTCCTCCTTTTCAATTTGGATGCCTTTTATGTTTTCTTCTAGTCTGACTGCTATGGCTAGCACTTCCAGAACTATGAGGAATAAGAATGTTGAAAGTGGACATCCCTGTCTTATTCCTGTTCTTAGAGGAAATGGTTTTAGTTTTTGCCCATTGAGTATGATGCTGGCTGTAAGTTTGTCATATATGACCTTTATTATGTTGAGGCATGATCCCTCTATTCCCACTTTGCTGAGAGTTTTAATAAAAATGGGTGTTGGATTTTGTCAAATGCTTTTTCTGCATCTATTGATATGATCATATTATTTTTGTCTTTCAATTTATGTGATATATCATGTTTATTGATTTGTGAACATTGTACCAGCCTTGCTTTTCTGGAATAAATCCCACTTGGTCATGGGATTTAATATATTGTTGGATCCTATTTGCTAATATTTTGTTGAGGATTTTAGCATCTATGTTCATCAGGGATATTAGCCTGAAATTCTCTTTCTTTGTAGTGTCTTTATCTGGTTTTGGAATTAGTATAATGCTGGCCTCATAAAAAGAGCTTTGAAGTGTTCCTTCCTCTTGGATTTCTTGGAATAATTTGAGCAGAATAGGTGTTAGTGTTAGTTCTTCTTTGAATGTTAGGTAAAACTCCCTTATGAAGCCATCCAATATTTTGTTTCCTTTATCCTTTTCCGTCACTGCTGCAGGTTGGATGCATTTTTTCACTAATTACAACTCAGGTCAGGCAGCCCTCTCCCTTCTCGTACCCTTTCAGGGCCCTGTTGCTAATCCTGGGCTGCTGTACTAGCCCTAATTTATGTTCTACTCCTTACCACACCTTTGCAAATATCATCTTCATTAAACTCTCTTCAAATTACTCATTTTGAGTATGCCAAGTGCATCCTGCCATGACTCTGACTTAAAAAATTCCCAAGGGGCTTTTAATAGGAAATGATGTGAGTGAATTTGCACTTCCTGGCTCCTGGGTGGAGGCTAGTTTGGGGCAACAAGAATAAAGGCAGCGCTTTTAACAGTGTTTTCCATCCCAGGAATACTTGTTACAAATATAGATTCAAGCCCCACCACTGACGACTGACTGATTCAGTAGGCCTGGAATAGGCCTATCTATATCTGTAAATAAGGACTCCATGTGACTATGACAGAATCTCACAGTTGTCCAAACACTGATCAGTATGTTGGGCAGGAACCAGTAGAGATCCAGAGTGGGGAGGAGAGCTGATGGAATGGGGAGGGAAATCAGAAGCAAAGGCAGAGGAATTTGTTTTGAGAGGGCCAAAGGACACCCTTTCTATTGAGAGCAAAGAAAAAAATGAGCTTAAAAAAGGAAGTTAAAGGAATTCTCACCTTATAACGTCAATTTCTTGGGGAAGTAGAAGGCAGAGTCACTTACTGTGATTGAAAGGGTAGACGAAGGTGTAAAGCTAGAGTGGTGCAGGTGTGGAATAGCCATTGTGGCGCCTAGGGTAGAAAGTGATCACAAGGAACATTTTAAGACTTCTTGAAGAAGCTGAGATTAGAGATGGAGAATTTGTGTGTCTGTCATGTGAGGGCTTAGTTTTGTCATTTCTCTCCACCAGTACTTGGCAGTCAATGACTAAAAATGGAGGAGGCAGTAATTGAATTGATTCCAGTTAGGAGGGTTGCAGAGCAGGTAGGATGGAAAGACAAGGGGCCCAGGATGTTGAACTCACACACAAACATGGGAGTAGCAGCACTATAGTATGAGGGGGAGTGCTCAACAGACGCTGTCCTTGGTCCTGAAATAGCATTGCACACCAGGGCATGGTCATTTCACTGTGAAGTTGGGGTTGGGTTAGAACATGTTCCCCTGCTCCTCAATAACACCCCACCATACAAGACTCATGGTGTCAAAAGACTGTGCTCCTAACCCCATAATACTGTGACTGCTGTGTATACAGGCCTACAGTCTGGGTACTATCATTTGTTGAAGATACAGCTCCAACAGTTAAGGGGTATTTAAGGAATTAATTCAACAAGTCTTGACTGAGAACTTTCCAGTTTCCAGGCAAGGGATAGAGGAGTAAAAAATTACAGAGAAAGTTTATTCCCAAGTCAAATCTTTTATTTGCTTTTAAAAAGAACATTGGAGAGGGCCCTTTCCTCTCCAATTCCTCTTCACTTTTCAGCAGCTGCAGAGTACTCAATGCAAAATGATCTCCCCCAAGTTCACTCTCTCTCTCCACATAGATCTTTGTGATTTCTGTTCTTTTGCTATTTTTTCCTGGGTGTCCATTATTCTACAGATGAACTTAGATTCTCTCTCAGCCTGCCAGAATACTACCTGTTTTGGAAGAGAGAGCAAATGGAACACAGAAAACAAACAAACAGACTTATCTTTAGCAGTCTAGAGGAAGGGAAAGGCTGTGAACATTGATACACTAAGTGCTAGGCCATCTTGGTATCTAGAAAGTCCTCCCAAACAGAGAGGGAGGCCACGTCACTGACTCTATCAGCTGACCATGGAACTTTCCTCCAAATAATTTGAAGCTGACAAACCTCCTGTGGAATTGTCCCAATGTCCTTGCTGCCCTCTAGCAGCCAAAGGTTCTATTCTGCCCCAGTGGTGGAGACTGACCCTAGCTCTTCTGTCAGGGTGACAATTCCCAATTAATTTTGAAAAATCATTAATTAAAGGCCCTCTTTTATTTTCTGGGACTTGAACTAAATGCTGGGAACACTGATAATTAAAGACAATTACTGTCCTCAGATATTTCATAAGTTAATGGGGCAGGCAAATCTGATGCAATAAGTTCTATGTCTGCAACCTGACCAAAGTACAGAAAGGATGATGCCGGTAGAATTCAGTTTTCAGTATGCTGAGAGAGAATCAGTGATGGGAATCCAAAGGTCATGTCTCTGATTTAGGGAGAAATAAAGGCAGCAACAGCATTAGATTTTACATATAGGGAGGAAGGACAAAAGAAGGCTAAGCATGAGTCTGGGTCTAGAACTGGAAAACTGGATTTAAATTTCCCCAGATGGCAGATGTCACAGGCGAGTCTTGGCTCCAGAGCCAGTAGGTCAAAGAGAGGGATTGAACACATGGTATCACCTATGCAGTGTAATCCAAGAGTCTGGGACCAGATTAATGGATAACTGAAACAAAGATAATCAGATATATTAATGACCAGGGCAAACAAAGGTTCAGAACCCGGGGCAGGTAGAGGCATGGGGTGAGTGAGCAGCTGGGGTAGGAAGTATATACATGGATAGTGACAGTTACAGAGACAACCTAGTAGAAAATTTAAGAATAGATAGTTTCCCTAAGGAATGCTGAGTGAAAAGTAGAGGCCAGGACTAAACATGAATGCCAAATGCTTTGGAAAGTAGAACAAGGAATGAGAAAAAAAGTCTTTGGGTGTTACTCTAAGAAAGCAATTGCAAAACAAAACACCGAACTCTCATTCCAGTAATTGTCAAAGGCTCTGCTGAGAAAGGTTGGTTACTGTTTCCTACAGCAGAGAGACTCTAAACTCCTCAACCTTCAACAAGCACAGCCATGTAATTAGCAATTAACATGACCCACGTTCTGTGCTCAGTGCTTTTACTGCAGTTGCTTATTTCATCTTTACCAAATCTACATGGTAAAGATTACCATCATCATTTTTGGATGAGAGAATGGAAACTCAGAGAGGTTAAGTAAATTGCCCAAGGTCACCCAGCTAGAAGGTGAAGAAGCTAAGATCTGAACCATAACCTTGCTTGATTGCAAATCTCATGCTCTTATTCATT